TTCCTATCAGAAACTTAATTTTCTCGCTAGGGTGGCGAAGCATAAGTCCCAGCGATGTAATCATCATATGGTTGAGAACTTTGAGAAGATAAAATATAGCATACATAAATTTTATTGGGCTAAGAGATTTCATTTGACGGATTAAAAATATATATATAATTGCATACCTTAGCGACGCTGAAAAAGGCTTTGGTATTTAAAAATAAAAATTAATTAAATGATTATTGTTTAACTTTTGATGATGATGTGCATTGAAATGATTTTAATAATAATTTGTTCTTAAAATATGATATTTACTATAAGTTAACCATACGTTGTAAAAAAAAACAGAACATATTATTTTTGGTTTAATCTCTTAATTTAATCTTCTAGCTAGACAGAGAAAGCAAAACTTTCGGCAAAAAAATGAATGAATTAATGACCCACAGTGCAATGATCCAAATGCCAAAAATGACAAATTAAATATGATAATTTGAGTTATAAAGGCAGTGGTATATCTTAAAAGTCTTCTGGCTTAGTTCTATAAAAGTCTGTATTTAAAACTTGGTTTGAAATTTCGGGCCGATTTTTTAAAAATCTACTACTTGTCTTTCAGGCTTCCGACTTCAAAGTGGTATATCTTGAAAGTCTTTTATGTTTACGATATAAGTTCTTAATTAATTTCTTTTCTTTCAGGCTTCCGATTTCAAAACGGTATATCTCGAAAGTCTTGTGGCTTAAGCCCCTAACAATCTGCATTTAAATTTTGTTTTGAAATTTAGTTGTTAATTTTACGATATAAAATGATAGTTTTCGTGCGTCGAAACGGGTTTCCATGTCGAAACAAAACGGTTAACGGCCTTACATGTATAAATACATTTTACACACCATCTTACACGTCATTTTACATACTGTACATAAACGAGAACTAGTAACGTTAACTAACAGGATTTAATTGTTTAAATATATTAAATGGAGTAATCATTTATAATTTAAATATTTATTTATATAACATTACATAAATATATATTTAATGACGGGGCAAATAATCAATCAATAATCGAGTAAGCAGGGTAGAATATTTAATTATTTATTTCTATCCTATTCCTATTCCTAGTGGCTAGCAGCCGATCGTGTTGGCGTTGATGAACTGAACAAATAGCTGCGGCACCTGCTCTAGTGGAGTGGGCGCCGTCTGGCTGGCGCGACAAGTGCTTGTAATGAACTTCTGACGCAGGCGGTTCAGCTGAAGGGCGTTCATCGAGGTAGCGACCTTCACAGGGCTGCTGCTACCCGGGATGCGCAGCTGGCCGAAAGCCTTGATCTTGACGGCACCGAGGATCTCCTTGATGATCGACTGCATGATGTTGTCCAATTCGAAGAGGTAGTTGGTGGCTCCCAGCGGTGGCTGCAAAATATAAGAACTTATATGAATATTATATTTTTAAATTAATTATATATATTTTAAATATATTCTTTTTTTATCTCAATCTTTACTATTAGAAAATGAATAATTTATTTAATTGCAATTTCTAGTAGTCTTTAGAAAAATGGGAGGCATAACATGCACCTTCCAAAGGGTGTTCTGATTTAAAACAGCAGTTTTTAACGCAGTCCCTTTCCTATACAATTTAAAAATATATTGACTAATAGTTTCTGTCCAGGCACGAACAGCAGTTCTTGACTTACATTCTGGGTGCTCTGGTTGGGCGGCAGGGGCTGCGTTTCGTACAGGGACTTGTAGATGGCCTCCACATCGAGCGTGTCCTCGGGCAGGGCCACCACCAGCGGACTGTCCCACCGGTTGTTGCTCTGCGGCTCCTCGTATCGCATGCACAGGGCGTCGAATGTGTCGCGGGTGTAGGGAACGTTCGAGTTTTCCACCGGCTTGTCCTCCTTCACCGCTGATTCGCTGACGCCAGGCAGCTCATCCACCGCCGTTCGCTGCACATTGAAGGTCCACGCCTGCTCCTGGGAAATACAGCAGAATAGGGTGCACTGGGTGGTCCGGGATGCCTTGGTCATGCAGTACAGTTCGTAGCGATAGCCTAAAAGAGATATAGTGGGCTTGATGTGACATCTCTTTTATCAGCTGAAGCTTGACCAGAACTGACCCTTGATGTAGTTGCCGGCGTCCAGGATGACCAGATCCTCCTTGTTGAGGTGGCGCGAAGCCTCCGACTTGAGATCGCTGCGCACCACCTTCTCCTTTTGCGAATCTCCCGCATGCGAATTCTTGCCGAACAGAGCCTTTGGCACGGCCTCATTTTCGCTGATCAGGTGCACCTTCCTGCCGCGCTCCACGAAGTGATCCCGCAGCTGACGGGCACGGGTGGACTTTCCGCTGGCCGGCAAACCCGTAATTACCACAATTGGCATGGTTTCCCTCACCTTAAATAACAACAATAAATAAACAAAAAATAATGGCCATACACGCTGCACTGCCTGCAGTGTTGGTTATCGACCACCTTGCAGGTGTAAGAGATGACTAAACATATTTCGAGCTAAATCTAGCTATTTTAGCCGCTACGATTTGAACGATTTTAAAAACAAAATTGTTCAAGTTCAATGTTACGTGTTGAATGTTGCAATGTGCAACATACCAAATGCAATATGCAAATTTACAATTAACATAAACGTGCAATTTGCAATGTGCCACTTATAAGATAACATTCATGTAATGTTAATTAAAATACAACTCCTAACTAGTCTAAGCTTAAAATTAAACAAAAATCATCATTAAAATAGGTGTTAGTAGAAAAGTATTTTTACAGCAAATTTAAAAGCTATAAATCTAAGAGATGATGCTTATAAGCAGAAATTGATTTTTTTCTGGTTAAAACCCTCAAAAATGGGACTCATGCTGATCCGGTTAACATCTTAACTGGTGCCATTATTTATATTAAAAAATGAATTAGTGCATTTTTTCTGTTAGTTTGTAATAATTGCAATTATTAAATTTAAAAACATAAAGTATTTAATTTAAGAGCAATATTTTTAAGAGTTTCGAAATTTAATTTTCTAATTTATTAATTCTGTTAGCTATTTTTGAAATGGCAACAGCACAGCTGTCTAGGTATCGAGCAGTGTTGAGAAACGAGCACGACTTGACGTTGACCTGCACATTCGTGTGAGTTTAAATATAAAACCTTTAAAATCCGGGTGACGGAATGGCCGAGCCGCGCCGCCGTTTCCGCAACAAGAAGCGAGATGACAACCCCTGCGGCATCCTGGCGCCCGTGACCATTGCCCGGCGCGAGGATGCCCGCCTGGTGCAGCCAAAGATTCTGCTGAAGAAGGACCGCGACCGGGACAAAGAGTGGGACAGGAATGGCGATCGGGATCGGGACCTGGTCAGGGACAAAGAGGCGGAGCCTAGTCCCACCAGAAACACTAGTAGCAGTTACCCCGATGCATCAGCGGCCATCAAGACGGTAATCATCAATCGTACGTGCGATCTGCGGCCATCGGACAGGTGTCATCAGATATCCATGCTTGGAGGAGGAGCACCCAACTCGATGGAAGGAGGAGCTCCTGCCCAAGCCGTGCCGTCGACCTCCGTCTGCGCTGCCTTGATTAGCTCTGCACCTTCGCCGAATGGCCAAAGGGACAAAAGCAACTGCGCAGGAGCCGCAGGCGGCTCAGCCGGAGCAGCAGGTGCCCTCCAGGAGCTGCAGCCGCCGCGCATGAACCGTCCCACGCCCCTCATAATGGCCAATGGTGTCTTTAATGCCACTGCCCGCAAGGTGTTCCACAAGACCAACACAGATTTCACTGTCTTAGGCGTTTTGGGTGGCCAGTGTTCCGGCAAGAGCACGCTGCTCAATCTCCTCGCTGCTGAGCGGTCCCTGGACTACGACTACTACCAACACCTGTTCTCGCCAGAGGCGGATGAGTGCGTCTTTGCCACCCGGCACAAGGCAAAGCCTAATAACGGACAAAAGAGTATTTTGCGTCCCCGCACCGAGGCTTTGCAGTTCTTCATCACCCGGGAACGTTACATACTGCTGGACACGCCACCGCTGCTGCTGCCCGTGGGCAAGGAGCCGGACCATCAGGATCTGAACTCCCTGGCAGCCATGGCCCAGATGCTGAGCGTGTGTCACGTCCTGATTTTGGTCATTGACGGCTTGGCCGTGGAGCAGTTGCGTATATTGCAGGCTGCCCTTCGACTCAGACCCACGTTTCCCTGCAAGGGCTATGTGCGGGACCACCTGCCGCAGGTGCTGTTCGTGCGCACACGTGCCCAGCGGCTGGATTTTGAGCCGGTGCAGCGGGAGCGACTGGATAAGAAGCTGGCGTTCCTCTACGGGCCCACGGGATTGCCTATTTACCGGGGCAGAGGCGAGGCACGCTGTTTGAACACATTTCTGCTGCCGGAAGTAAGCAGTAATGCAGCCACCGCTTTTCACGCTGGCCTGGGCGAACTGGTCCGTCAGTTTCGTGAGCGTGTGCTTGGTGCCACGCGCGTTTCCATGTGCCACACAAGCACCGAGCTGAGCGAGGCCATCTGGTTCGAGATACTGGCGGAAAGCGCCCGCAAAGGTGCCCCCCATTTCGAGAAGATATATGCGGAGATCAAGCTGCGCCACTTGGACACTCGCTGCCAGTGGCGGTCGGACAATTGGCGCACCTTCCTCAGTGGAACAGGCACCGAAAGCTGATCCAAAGAACTGTGTTATTGGGCAGGGATTACTTGGACCATTTTAGAGATTAAATTTCCAATATCACAGCTGACCTCTCTTTTTACTGCTAAATTTGTATAGTGCATAGGGTCAATGTTCATTTTTGAAAGAGTTGTTAAGAGTTAACATATGAATCAGAAATTGAGAGTGTGACTGATATACATATTGTTTCACCATTAAATAAAAGACTTCACAGAAAACAATTTAAAATTTGCAGAAAAAGTATTTACAATTTTAAGTTGAAATTCCACGCTTAGTGTACAACATTGGAGTTTTGTATCAAACCGATTAATAATACATATATTGAGTTGGTAAATTAAAGAAACTCATTTAATAAATAAAAATTATTTATTTATTTAAATGTTTTGTTTTGGTATATTTGAGTGGCCTATTTCGAAACACTCTGTTTTGTATTTGCACGATTTTACAGCAAAAAAGCTGCTTCAATTTGTATATTTCGAAATTGGTCTACAAAAAAAGATTTTTACTGAATAGAGGCATAACATTTAATCTACAACATCGTAATATTGTTGTGTCAACTCGAGTTCACTGTCTTGCCTGTGGCTTAATGATGATTAAGGTGTTGGTGATGGCATCCGTAGGTGGGTTTGGATTCAGATTTGGGTTCGGTTGTGGGGTTGGGTTTGGATTGAAAGACTATCACGTTGGCTGGGCCACATCAGTATCATCGTTGGCCGCGGCCGTGGCCTGCTGATTCAGCTGCTCCTCCTCGCTGTCCTCGCGCACAATGAGATCGTGTGGCTCCCGAGAGGCCTTGCGCTTTCCCCGCTGCTCCTCAAACGGATCCGGCTTGCGACAGACCCAGAATAGGCTCTGATACTCGCTCTGCTTCATCGACGACGGATTCTGGGCGTACTTGGTGCGAATGCCTGTGCGCGATTTCTCGATCACAAAGCCTACACTCTCCATGATGATGCAAATGTCCTCGAACGTCGGCTCAATGCTGTTCTGTCCGCTGACGTCACTGTAGTGGTACAGCAGCGGTCCGAGATTCACCCATATGCCACCAGGCACGAGAATTCTGCAAGGTAAAATGTTTGTCAAGACTAATAAAATAAATGGATCTCCTTCGCAACACACCTGTAAATGGTGCGTATAAAGTCAATTACGTTATTGGCGCAATCGATGAAGAAGCACGTTGCCACACAGTTGTAGGTGTGCGGCGTCTTGTAAACCTCCAGAAAGTCCCCAGCGGCTATTTCAAAATGGCCCTTGGGCGGATTCTTCAGCGGGCAGACATCGGGGAAGCGAACGGCGGTCACCTGATCCTCGCGCCTCAGGTTGTTCACATACTGATGCACCCACGGGTACAGCACGTACTTGTTCTCGTAGTCGCAGCTACCACCGAGAAGGAAAAGCAATTCCAGAACATTGTAAATAATCAGCGTTAGATAAAGAAGAGGAGGAGGATCAGGAATTCAGTACCGAAACTGAAGTGTTCACTCACAGATTGAGGACAAAGTTGGAAGCAATCAGCATAAAATAGGAGAACTCGTTCCCCTCGCACGAGTATCCCAAGCATGCCAGCTCGTAGGTGAGCCGTCCTAATCCCGCTCCAGGCACCAGGATCTTAATCTCCTTCAGCTCGCTGTTCATTAAAGGAAAAGAATATTAAAACAATAAAACATGAATGCTCGAAAGCACTCACTAATCGCCGGGCTTGTAGTACTCAACGATGCTGTCGATGATGGGCTTGTAGGACTGCTCCCGCTCCAGGGCGCCATCGGTGCTCCAGTCGCGCGCAATCAACTTCAATGTCGACTGGGCCTTTAAAATTTTGAGAGGTTCAACGTCAGCTTCATCGAATGGAATATCATTCTGTGAGTTGGATAAGAGCGGGTGCGAAATACGGGATGCGGGTGTCATGTACAGATATTTAAGAGAAACATAAAGAAAAGGAATATGAATATATGCCGAAAAAAATAATATAAGAATTTAATTTTGTGAATAAATAAACATACTTAAATAGTTATAGAGGTTTTTTGGGTGTCTAAGATTACTAATGCTAAAGTTTACAATTTATTCAAACTGAAAACTGTTATTTTGTGCAAATTGTTATTTAAAAAGCTAAATAATTTAATTCATCTTTGCCCAACTTAAATTTGTTCATATAATATAAATATAGACAATTCTTGATAAAATGCGACTAATTGAAATCATGAATAACCAAACGTTAGGAAAAATATATTATGTAAATATTTTGTTTTAAATGGAAAGTTCGGTGGATGAGTGAGGATGAAGGAGTGCGTTCTAGGTTTTTTAAAGATCTAGACTGTAGATTCTAGAGCTTCTTTAGCTGTTTACCTGGTCCATATCACCGTGCCTCACGTTCGGCGGCGGCTCATCAAACTCCCACCGGTCCGTCGAGTTTTCTGTCGATTCTTCTGCCGGATAGAGCACACGCTCCCGCAAAATCTCCCGGATGACCGCCTGGTTGCGATCGATACACGTGCGCACGCACTCCAGATGTCCTCTATACTTGGACAGCATGTGCTGATCCTCGCCAGATAGGCTGTCCAGGTAATCCATGGAGCGCTTTAGCCGCTGGCACGCATAAGGCCTGTATGAGAGAAATTAATTGATTTCCATTATCAGTCGATGCCACTTAATGCCGACGAGCACGCTTATCACCAGGGATGACGGGATTTCAGACTTAACTTAAACAAAGCGGGGTAACTAAAAACAAATGTGCAATTGCAATTAAAAAAAATTAACTAAAATTAATATCTTATTAAACTAAACTAAACTAAAAACTAACAAAATACATTTTTTTGCAACGCTTTGTCAAAAATAATTAAAGACCATCACTTCTTTTATTCAACCCACCTAAATATGTTTTTGTCCATACAAATGTCTTTGAGATCTAAAAATTACAAAAAAATTATTGAATAATGGTGTATATTCTACAATATTTCCACGCCACTACTTATTATCCTAGACTTGTAGAGAACATTTTTAGTAAGACATCAATGAACATTAATAGGTACCGCCAATATTTGAAAAAGCTAGCCAGATTTGGCCTCAATCCACCTACACCGACAGCACTGACATGCACGCACGATATGAAACAAAACGAAACGGGAGTTTGTCGACAGCTTGTCTGCACATGTCGTTGCTCCCCTCCCTCTCCCACTGCGCCCAGCCCCACCTCCCCATTTACCGTTAGCCGGTGGAGGCAGCATGTGCCCCAAAGCAGCAACAAAAACAGTACTTACCCGTAATAGAGGAAGGCGTTCTGCACCTTTTGGATGTGCTTCTCCTCCTCCTCCTCGTTGGAGGTGAACGCTTTGGAAAGCTGCTCGTCCATCTTGGGATGCATGGGGAACATGGCGCAATCCATGGTGCTCATCTGGGGCGCTTCAGCGGCGGAGTCTTAGAAAATTTACACTAGTTATATCAAAAATTACGGCATTTGCATTGCTCTGTTTTAGTCTTTATTTTGGATTAAAGGTGGGAAAGCATCGATAGTACCGATGGTAGTTTGTAAGAACGATGTTTGGCAGGGAGTCATCGATATTTTTCCAGCCCTATCTACGGTCAAGTTCCCGCTAACTATCGATAAGCGTGTGATCTTGGGCGCACTTTTTGAAAGCTTTAAACCTTGTCAATTGAATTTCAAACTTGCTTGTGCAAATAAATAAAGTTAAATCAACCCTGAAAATATAAGAAAAATGTATTCGTCAATACACTTACTCCACAAGCTCATATTTTATTAAAATTGTATAATACTCAAATTTCCTTATGATTCAATATCAAACCAAATATGATTCGATATATTACGCTTCGATACCTTTGTTTTTTTCTGAAAATTCAAAAAGTCAATAAACTTGATAATGTATTTAACGGTGTTGTTTATTTTCAGTTTAAACTGAAACCGGGTTTTTCCTTTGGAAATCTAAATTATTTTAAACTAACAAGCAATCGTGCTCAACCAAACATTGATTAAACTGGTGGTGTGCAGAATGTTTCGTTTGACTTATTTACACAATCGATTTATTTTTCCGTTGGCCTTCTGCTCCACGGGCATCTGCACGCTATCGCTTACAGCTGGATCTTACGTGTCCGCTTTATCTTCGTGTTTTTGTGATGTACGAATATAACAGGTAATTCCGGGATGTGAAGTAGGCGGAGTTGGAATGAACGAAAGGCGGGCACAAACAATTAACAGGTAAAACAGAGAAATATACATAAATGCTAAGTGCCAACAAAGGACCAACATGTAAAATAAATAAACTAACACTATGCGTACAGTTAGCTATCAACAGTTCCGAAGATCGGGTCCGGGCCCGGGTCCGGCGACTATGCCTGCAGTCCGGTTCTGGCCCCCGATCCGGATCCTGTCCCAGTTCCGGCGCCCTCATTGCCGTTGCCCATTGTCTCGACGTCCGCGTCGATGAAGAGCCGCATGAACTGGATGCACCGGCTGTGGTAGTCCATCCAAGCGGCACGCTCGTTGCTGCGCAGCAAAATACGGCCAAAGGTGGAGGCTGTCCGGAACAAATAGTCACATAGTTACATACAAGGCCAAACGTCAAGGAGCTAGGATCTACCCACCGACTTGATGCAGGTCGTAGTACTGGCTCTCAATGCCCGCGCGCAGGAACATGCACAGGTGCATAAAGACGTTCCTCTTTGGCGGACTCAGCAGCGATATATAGTCCATGGCCTGCGACTTGCTGGTGCATTCCAGCAGGTTCTCGACCACCGGCTCCAACAGTGCCTGCTCCGGCAGATCCAGTAAAAGCAGCAGCGCTTGCGCAGCAGTCTCCGCATTAGCAGCTGCAATTCGGATATACGGATATAATCAGAGCTTGAGTAAGAGCAAAGCAACCATATAGAATCCACTTACGAAACGGCTCATCCGACCAGGTGTCCAGCCAGTCGCGCACCGAGTTGAACTGGGCGCCGAGGGAAAGACGGGAGTCGTAGGACGGGAACGCGCCCTCCTGTCTGGAACCCTGCCTGTACAGATAGTCGATCAGCAGGAAGAACTCCCGCGGCATGGTCACGCGATACTCCGGGGATTCGTTATTCATCTGTTTGAGTAAATAAAATAAGCATTAGCAATATTTTGGTATTTGCTCTTTACTCTTTACTACGAGATAGTATTTGTATTGTATTTTTTAATTAATTTCAAAAAAGAATTTTAATATTCCGGTTTTCAAAAGTCATATCTCTAAAGGTTTGTGCTTTAATTATCTAAAGGACTGTGAACTCCCAAGTTAAATTCTAATACTCACCAGCTGCTTAATCTGGTCCTGGGAGTACTCGCTCAAGGGACGATCGGTGCGGCACATGGTCTCCATGGAGAGGCCGAAGCAGCTGGGTTGGTAGTTGCCGGTCACCGTGATGAAGATGTCCCTGCCGTTCTCCACGTCCAGGATGAGAATGTCAAAGTTATCGCTGTCCCGGATCTTGCGTAACAAGCCGGCGATGGTGCGCACATTGACGTGCATCTTCAGACGGATGCTGCGGGCGGAGTCGATGAGCAGAGAATCCTGCCGCGGATCGACATGCAGCCAGGGCTCACAGATGGCGTGGATGTCCTTCTCCTTGAAACTAAAGTCCACGGGCAGCGGACAGTTGTTGTAGACATTGAAGTCCCGTATGCTCGGCTCGTTGAAGCGCACAGTTCCGAAATCGATCACCGTCTTCTCCACATTGATCTGCGGCTGGTTGTCGTTCTCCCGCTTGTCCACCGCCTTGAGCACCTCCTCCTGCACCCGCTTGTACTTGACCTCGTCGCGCGTCTTTATCTTCACTCGGAACACGGCGTAGACGGGCTTGTGGTCGCTCTGCCGGATCTCCATGATGCTGTTGTAGGCCAGCTGCTCGATGCGCGTTCCCTTCCAGAGGACGCGGTCGCAGTAGGCCGGCGCCCGCTGCTTTTCGCTGCTGTCGTAGTTGTCCGTGCCCGGGTCATACTTGTAGGTCGGCCGGAATTTAATCTCGCCCTCGGTGTAGCCCTCGAAGCACTTGCCGCGCCGCATCTCCTGCCGCAGCTGGTCGTACTGCAAGAGCAGCTCGTAGGTTTGGACATCGCTCAGCGGTCCTGGTCGCTGTTGTCCGGGCGGCTCCTGAATGCGATAGTTCAGATCGCCCAGCCAGAAGATGTGACTGGAAAACGAAAGAGATGGAAAATCAAGTAAGCTCAGGCATTTAAAATGGCCATTAAATATAAAACTTAGCCCATCATTATATAATTTTCGTAGTTGCTACCTTTTTTGTATCTTCCCTCTAATATTTAAAACTCTTTTTTATTATATCATATCACAAGCTAAGACAATGAAATCGTCATTTGTGGTTTACACGTCTAATATTTGAAGATTATATTTAAAGCGTGTCCAAGCTAAGTTAAAATAATAATTGAAAAAGGTAAGTAATATTAGCAATTGTGGATATTAGATCTAATATTTGCAAGCCTCTTTTGATATTTTATGCACTAACTTAGTGCCACTAAGAATGTAGTTAAAATTTTACCAAGTTTTCATGATAAAAAGGTAGTTCATTTTGTCCAGTATGTGTGTTTAGTCAATCGTTCTGAGATTCATATCTGGTTTAAGGCAACAAATATATACAAATCACGTGAACTCACTCATGGTCGCTGATGGTGCGTCCGTCGTCGAAGCGTATTCCCTCCACGATAGCGTTGTAGTCCTGGTTCCGCTCCTCCACGTAGCCCATGTGGGCGGCCAAATGGGAGTTGACAAAGCAGATGTTGCCCTCATTGAGCTGCAGGCTGATGGCCACGCCCCCCTTGTTGCCCAGCGTATTGAAGATTCCGCGTGCGACCGACTTGGGGCGGCAGCGTATGATGTGCTGGCGCAACTGCTTGCGCACGATGACCGTTAGCATGGTGGCCACCAGCCGATGCGACATCAGGATCTCGTACTCTACATCCGGGTGGACGCTGTCCATCATATTATCACTGCCAGAGGGAGGGACAATTTTAAAGTTTATGGGGCCATACAATCGCAGAAACACACTCACATCCACTGCTTCTCGATGGCCTGCACCTGAGTCGAGTTCAGCATGGCCTTTGTGGGAGTGTCCAGCTCCTGCAATCCAATGGCATAAATATCCGGCGGCTGTTCACTGCACGCCAGCCATGGTCGCAATGGATTGCTGCTGTCGCTGCAAGTCTTGTTGTTCACGTTCCACGTGGCACAGTAGATACTAAAAGGAACAAATGAATGATTATAATCGCGTGGCAGAGAGTGTGCTCCAACTCACATAATGTCCTTGTAAACAATATACTCGCTCTCGCGCTTCTTCAGCTCCTGCTTGACCTCGCCAATCTGGCGATAGTCATTGAGCCACCTAAAGTTGAGCACCGTTTCGGGATCGTGCTGGACCATGGTGCTCTTAAAGGAAATCACCTTGGCTACAAACTCCTCGTAGTGGTCGCCTTCGGTGGTGTAGTAGTAGTACTTGATGGGGCCATCCTCGGCAGTGGACAAGTCAAATTGCTGGGTGGTGATCGAGCTCTTGCTATCTGCAATAGAGCCAGAAGACAATGTAAATATAACAAACAAACGTACAAAATACGTTACAAACTACAGATATTTCTTTACGTAAATGCACAGCTATTCTGTTATTTGCCTATAATTAAGTAAAGACTATTATTGATTAGGTGCCTACTTTACAAATAGTTACTATTCAGTGCCAGGCTATGAGTTAAATATTTGCCAACTATTTAAAATGACAAACAGGCGTTACAACTGGTGGTTTAAATAAAACTAGCCGTAGAGATACATCAAGTTGTTTATGTTTTTGAGCTAAGGGTTATCTTGAATCTTGATTTGTAGCCACATCTATGAGCCAAAGGTACTTCTCACCCTGCCGCAGCTGGAAATTGTGGTCGATGGCGAACACTTTGTTGATGATCAGCTCGTTCACGGAGGTCAGCGGAGTGCGCAGGTAGGAGAAGGCGATGATGGCGAATGTTCCGCCCGATTTCGAGGAAACAAGCGCCAGCAGTCGATTTGTATACTCCGGACCTTTGATCTGATAAGCCTCGAATAACTGTAAGAAAGGGATTCTTTAATTGGAGAGCATATATATATAAATGTACATGGGCCCCAATGTAGGCTTGGCTTGTTATCAATATGTTTGAGAATGTTAAAGTGATATGTTTAAAGACATTAGTCATTGTGGAAATACTGAGAGCATACAAAAAATACAATTTCCAATGAATTTAAAGCCTCCATAATGATGTCACAGCATTGACTTTATTTATTTAGATTGAAATTTTAAAAAGAAAAACTTGTTTGCCCTTTTGATATGACATTTTTAATAAATCACATGTATGTTTTTAATGCCTCTTTTTAGATTCATATAAGGAGTCTCATAAGGTATTTGTATATAAAAGTTATAGCGAGTTATTACCCTTTGATCGTCTTCAAAGTATTTGAATTTATAATATTCTAAAGTATTTTAAATCCATATTAGGAGTCCCAATGTTTTTTTTGTTTACATAAAATCTACCCTCTGACTATCTTTAAAGCTATTTGAATGACTATTATTAGATACATATTGGAACAACCATTGATGGCTTACATATTCTATGGTTTCGTCTTCCTTGAACCGCTCCTTAACAATATCCTTGGTTGTCCTGGCGGCCACAGGAGCAGGAGCGGTTCCATTGGTCACATGCACATTGTCGCCCACCGTGTCCATTTTTGTTCTGATGATTCAAGTTTCGAGCTCCTGGTTCCTTCTTCTATTTGCCTATTTGCTAGTGAGAATGCAAACGCTTGTGTTTTGCCTTAATCTCGGAATGAAGAATAATACTTTTGAGGGCTTCTTCCTCTGCGTCGATGATATATATGTATGTATGTACGTAGATATGAATATGGACAGTTGTTTGCTGCTGTGTTGTTGCTTTTTTTTTGCTTTTTCTATTTATAGTTGGCGCGAACGCCCAGCGATTGGAACTCGTATGGGATCCGATTGGAATTGAAAAGGGGCTGTTTTCGCTAAGAGGTTTCTTATTTCTGGTTGGAATCGGGAGCAACTAGGTGGCGATTTGACCCTGCTCCTGCTCTTGAGCTGCGTTATTGTAACCGAGTCCGTAATAATTCTGGGTAATCGCAGAAGCTTGTTTGTTTTCTTGGGTGATTTATTGTTGTTGTCGCTCAAGGTGGGTGTATCGCACACACACTCACACACTTGCAGAGGCAATTATTCATCGGTAATGCGATGACAATAATAATTGCCAATCTACTCCACTCCACTTCACTCCGCTCTTCCACTACGAATCACCTCCTCTCCGTGGTGTTGCGAAATTCCGCTTCTAACAGACAAATTGGCACGCGCGCTAATTAAGGCTCATTATTTGTTTCGATTTATTTTCCGGGCGATCTGTTCCTGTTCGCCAGCCGTTGTTGTTGTTGTTTTTTGGCTAGTGCTGGGTTAACCACTGAAGATAGTATCGATGTATCGATATATTGAATACGTCTGTTTACACTAACCGAAAGTCTGCGTCAACGGGCAAAAGTTTTGGATTTGATGGATGGCTTAGACAAAACTAAATGATGACAGGTTCTTTGAAAAATGTTCTCCCAATATTTCTGATGCCATTTAACGCCCCTCTGAGTAGAATTTTTTGCTTTTCTAATTCGCCAAAAATCATCAGCTGTAGAAATCTTTTCACTTGCTATTTTATCAATTTTATTTATTATTTTATTGCCCGTTCTCTTCTTTCTTTTCGGTTTGTTTACTTATCGTAGGCCGTTCAACTGCTTTTGTAACAGCGGGCGCCTGTGTGAATTGTTCCAACAACTTTTTCGCTACAACACTTTAAGGCGGCAGTGTGAAGACGGTATAAGATAATACATAATTATTAAAGGGTTGAGAGCTTGGCTAAACGCCCACTACATCTTTGGTCACACCGATTGCCGCAACAAAAAAAGAACAACAACGACGAGCGTGGTGTGGGGGAAACTGCTCCCCGAAACTAAGACCAAACCGAAATAAAATGGCCCAATTTGAAAAGGAAATTGTGCAGGCAGTGCTGATAGCCGACAACAATGTGTGGAACTTCAAGCCCCTCTCGGATGAGGGTTCCACGGTGGGTAATCCCGATAGCACAGCGATTGTTTAACTTCCGCAACCATTTCTCTGCAGGCTCTGCTGCCACTGGTCAATGTGAGGATGCTGGACTACGCTTTAATCGCCTTGAATCGCAGCGGGGTGGAGGAGGTGTTTGTGTACGCCAGCCTTTATCTGCAGAACATCCGGGATCACATCAAGTGAGTTAGTCGCCGGCGCCGCCAAAAGATGATGCAATTCGTGGTACTAATAACTCAATTTCATAGAGCTGGCATAGCCACGTATGCTTCCTGGTCCTTTAAAATGACCGTCCATGTGATTGGCGGCGAGGGCTGTCGCTGTTTCGGCGATGCCATGCGAGATCTGGACGCCAAGGCTCTGATCCGCGGCAATTTTATACTGCTGGGCGCCGATACGGTCACGAATGCCGATCTGCGTCCGGTGCTGGAGCAGCACAAGCGGCAGGCCAAGTTCGACAAGGGCACCGCCGCCACGCTGGTGTTTAAGGAGTGCTCCAATAACGTGCGCACTGGGAACGAGCTCCTCATTGCCGTGGATCGCCGCAACGATCGCCTGCATTACCACCAGCGGCTGAGGATGCACCAGAAGGAGCCGCGCTACCAAATACCGCTGGACGTCTTCCTGGGCAACTCGTGTGTGGCGCTGCACCACAACCTTTTGGATCCACAAATTGCCATTGGTTCCCCGTCGATGCTGTCGCTTTTCAGTGACAACTTTGACTTCCAGACGCGGGATGACTTTGTGCGTGGCCTGCTGATCAACGAGGAGCTGCTCGATAGCCGGATATATGTGGCTCTGCTCCCGGCTGCCCAGTATGCGCACAAGGTGAACAACTGGCCGGCCTACCAGCTGGTCAGCCGGGACATCATCAACCGGTGGGCCTACCCGCTCGTCCCGGACATGGGCGTTTACAAGCTGCAGCAGCAGTATGTCTTCCACAAGGACAACATCTACAAGAGCCCGGGGGCGCATGTGTCCAAGGTGGCGCTGCAGCAGAACGTGGTCATCCAGGCGGGCAGCCGGGTAGATAGTGGTTCGGTCATCAGCGACAGTGTGATTGGAGCCAACTGCCGCATCGGTAAGAACTGCCGGCTGAGCAACGTGTTCCTCATGGCCGATGTCACCGTAAAGGACAACTGCCGGCTGGAGCATAGTGTGGTGGGTGCGGGCGCCACCATTAACGAGGATTGCGATGTGAGCGCAGGCTGTGTTTTGGGAGCAAATAGCGTGCTGCCAGCCCAGACAAAGCTTTCCAAGACTCTCGTCACTAGCACGCCCAACACACAGCGCAGTGAGGAGGATGCGCTCGCAATGGAGCTGGAGTCCATTGGGCCACATGCCTACATTGTCAGCGACCTGACCACCGGTGATCCCGAGGACTCGGATGGCGAGGATTTCCTGCCTCAGCAACCGCTGAGCATACCCAAAATGGGCGACCTGCTGGCTCCGCTGGACGAGATCAGCTATTGCACTGACCTCAGCGACGACGACGAGGATGCCTCGCGAGCGGTGACGCCTCTGCCCGATGACACAAATAGTGAGTGCAATTTGAAATTAACCAGCCTAATCAACTAACAACCATTAGCAAATCTTAGTTTTCCTGGGCGAGGTGATCGACTCCCTGACGCGTGGTTTTCGCGAAAAGTCCAATCCCGACTTTCTTATCCTCGAAATCAACTCCTCGCGCTATGCCTACAATATGTCACTCAAGGAAGTTAACTTCAATGTGGTAAAGGCTGTGTTCGGCATGCAGAGCATCCTGGACCCGGTGAATAACAATGTTCTGGTGGCCATAAATGCTGCCTTTAAACAACTGGGACCTGTGGTCTCCAACTACATTAAGAGCGAGGATGCCATGCTCGATTGCCTCAAGGCGCTGGAGGTGATCTCCCCCTCATCTTTGTTGTCCCAAAACGTCATTTAACGTTTCCCCTTTTTACCCCAGGATGTGTACGAGGAGAATCCTCTGGTGCGGGAGAAGATCTCGCAGATTGTGCACTACTTGTACGACAAGGACTTCGTTTCTGAGGATGCCATCCAGGCCTGGTTCGAGCAGTTGGACGAGGAGGAGCATGCGCATCTGCGCCAGAGCCTGGCGAAGCTTGTGGCCTGGCTGAATCAGTCCAGTGAAGAGGAGGATGACGACGACGATGATGAGGAGGAAGAGGATTAGGAAGCAACGACGCCCGCTCACGTTTTTCACTTTTTTTAAACAACTTTCGAAGAATTTTCTCTTCTAGCTTTTAAATGCCGAACCATGAAATGGTTCACCCAAAAAAAAGATGAAATAAAAACAGGATTAATCCAAAACACCTGTTATGATTATGGAATTAATAATTTACCCAAAACGCAGGTTTTATATTTCACTTAAATTACCAAATCATTTTTCACCTTCTTTTGTAAGTTAACAACTTTTCCGATTCTAATTTTTCAATGCCGAAACATAAAATGGTTCCCCCAATAAAAAAATTTAAATAAAAGTGGGGATAATGCAAGTACACCTATTGTTGAAAAATGATAATAGAAGCCTTTGAAATTAGGAATTTATCCAAAAAATAAGGTTTGTTGTTGCACTTCAATATAAAAAAGGAAATAACAGTAAACATCTATTATTTTTTAGCTTTTTTTTATTCCTTGAAATTGTACATACACATTTTTACAAAGTCTGTGCTATACATAAAAAAAAAACGTTAAAGAATTCCAATGCCTTGTGGGTGATTTTGTTACAGACTTATTGCAACGCAAAAATGTGTGGGGATTCGACAAACGAATAGAGCAAACATCGGGAATTAGTTCTACTTCAGGTAGACGAACTCCTCGTCCCCATCATCCCCTTCCATTTTCAGCGGCTCGAGGCCGACCATTTCGTCCTCCTCCTCCGTTTCGGCAATCGATTGGAACTCATCGTCGGACTCCTTCATCGACTCAATGGTGATTTGGGTGTCCTCGGTGGCAGCCGGATTGGGCGACTGCTCCTCCTCCGGCTCCAGGTGCTGCTCCTCTGTCTCCAGGTGCTCCTCTTCTGTCTCCAGGTGCTGTTGGTCCGACTCGTCGGAGTCTAGCTTATCCGTCTCAGCCTCCGCCTCCATGTCCATGTGGTGCTCCTTCTGGCCTCCTTTCTTGGAAGCTGATTCTGCGCTCTGTTCCTTCTTCTCAAGTAGCTCCTTCGGTCTGCCTTTCGTTTTCGTTTTAGAGGCGGCTCCCTCCTGCTCCTGCACGCCGCGATCCTCGTCCATGTCCTCCTCCTCAGACTTCAGTGGCGATTTGACATCATCAGCCGCCATGCGACTCGCACTGCGCTCCTCGAGGCTCCGGCTGATGTCCCTGGCTATGTACTCCAGTCGCACCTGGACGCTCTTCTGGAACACCTCGCTGTTATCGTCGGAGAAGAGGTTGCTGCGCACCTCCTCCAGGCAGCCCTCGAGCACCTTGTTGACCTCGCTCACCTCGCAATCGCCGCCCAGATTCTGGGTCACAATCAGCAGGGTGGTGAGGTTCTTGATCAGCCGGATCATGCGCGGGTTCTTCACCATCCCCTTGTTGATGTCGTCCACCGTTTGCGAGGCCTTGGCGCGGCACTCTTCGCGCAGATATGTCGGCGAGATCATGGCCTGCACATTGGGATTGCGTGTGAGGCTGCTGGACATCTCCTGCACCTTGGTCAGTTCGAACATGAGCTCCGCGTTGATGCGCTCAATGGAGACGATATTGAAGGCATACTGCCGCTGGAAGTTGTCGGCAATCTGGCGGCGATGTCGATCCCCGTTCTCGTCCTGGCTAATCATTTCGCCCATGGCCAGCTCGGCGGTGGCATTCATCTTGTTAAGCCGCTGTATGCGATCAGCCTTCACCGCAATGTGCTTCTCCAAATGGACTAGGTGCTCCAGCAGCGTGCTGGGGTAGGCGTGATGCCTGGCCAACTGCTGCCGGATGGGACTCTCACCCACCGAATCCTGGCCCAGCAGGGGATCACTCTTGTTCAGCTTCATGCTCAGTGCGTTCCGTGCGGCCGCATTGTTGCTGGCCAGATGCTTTTGTGGCCTCGAACCCGCCACTCCGCCTCCTTTCTCCTTCTTCTGCAGATAGTGGCTCGTGAGATTGGCCGTATAGCCCAGATTGGTGGTGAAGCCCTGGTTGTTCGTCTGATAGATGCTCATCAAGTTAGGCCGGAAGTCCTTGGTGAAGCTGTGCAGCGGCAGCATCTCGTGAAAGTTCTCCGACACAATCTCGTAGTCGGGTATGGCATGGGTGCCCAAGCCGGGTCGTTCGAACGTCACGCGATACATGGAGTTCATGGAGTCGTAGGCGGCCACTGTGCCGGCAAAGATCCCATCCTGTGGAGTTCTCAATCTGGCCGTGACTTTAGTGCCCAACGGCAGTGGCATTGGTATCTTTTCCGGCATATCCGACAGCAGCATGGAATCCTTGAACTCTCCCGGCTTGCGCGACTGCAGGGTGCGCATCAGCTGGCGCTTCCTGTCCAGCTCCTTGCGCTCCTCACTGAAGAAGTTGGCGGAGCAGCGCCGGGGTCTGCCCATCCGACGCCTGATGTTCACCCACTCGTGGCGATTGAGGCTCCGCGTGCCCAGCCTGGGTGCCAGCTCATTCACATGGTTCATGAACTCGTCGCGGCAGTCGAACAGTGGCTTGTCGATATACGAGTAGAACCACTCGGCTATGGCCCACTTGTGTGCCTTGGGCAGCTTGAGAAGATTGCGCAGTCGCAGGCCAATGGACTGGCCCAACCGCTTGTTGGCCAAAGCAGTGGCCTCCGCCTGGGTGGCCTCCTCCTCGGCGGCCGCTGCTGCCGCCGCCGCTGCGGCCGCACCCTTGCCCACCAAATGGGCACCTCGGGCAGGCTTCAATCCTCCGGCGGTTAGCTTGCTGGCCGAGCCCTGACCCTTCGATGGCGTCTTCTTGTGTTTGCCCACCTGCTGCTGTTGCGCTTGCTGGCTGCTGGCCGAGTTAGAACTGGAGCCCTGCTCATTGTTGGTGCGCATGTAGCGGGAGACCACGCCCTTGCGTTTTTTCAGCACCTTGGACGGCGTGGGCGGGTTGCTCTTTTGGGCAGAGCCTCCTCCTCCTCCTCCGGCTGAGAGCGGCGGACGACCGGGCATTTTCTTGGGCGCCAGACTCATGCGCAGCGGCTTGTCGTCGTTGATTATGTTCTCGTCGTAGAAAAGACGGTTCCTCTTCCGGATGCGGGCGGGCATTCCGCGGGCATTGAGGGTCAGGATCGGGGCCTTCTGCACCTTGGGCTTGGGTGGCGGGGCACTGCCCACGCGTTGCAGGCCCAGCGTGGCCAGACTGAAGGCTGGCGGCTCTACTTGCTCCTCCGGATCGCTGGTCTCGTTGCTGTCCGGCTCCTCGTCTTCGTCCTCTTCGTCAATCTGCTCCTCCTCCTCTTCGCCCTCGTCGAAATCGGGATCATCGCGGTTGTTTTCATCCTGGTCCTGGTCCATTGGCTCGGCATGGCCGGCCTCGTCCTCCTCCTCGCTGAGAGCGGACTGCCTACGGGCGGCGGCGGCGGCGGATACGGAAGCTGTTGCCTTCCTGCCCCGGCCTTTCTGGGCTTCTCCGACGGGCATTCTCACTGGGCGAGCAAAGGGCTGGAATCCAAGGAGCAAAAAGTTGGTCAAATGAGAAAGAGTGAATAAGGAATCGATGTGAAGATTATATAAGTAACTTTCTATAATACATAAAGAGGTGTAATATTCGCATGAGTGGACTCATAGTTCCCTTCGTCAAGCCATATCTCAGAACATAGATCACTCTAATAAATTGAAGATCATGCATTGATATAAGCGTTTAGGGACTTATGTATGTTTTGATTTTGAGGAAAAGACAACCAGATGCGACAAGAAATCAAATTCTGTGAAATATGAAGTCTTTTTTTTTAGCTTTTTCTTTAAAGGTCAATAGCCCCATGAGCTTTCTTATCAACAGGACATGACTTAAGCCATATTAACTCGAACCTGTTTTTTGATAATGTAAGTCAAAGGGCGCTTTGGCTCCACTCATTTAGGGATAGACTGTACTTAACTGTTGATTTAATGCGGTCATACCGACAGATGTGCTTCAATCCATGCGTTGGTCACACTAAATCAACGCCCAATAGAAAATACAAATAACAAGGATACTACAGATTTGCTCATGTTTGGTTGACTTTATTTGTTGTATACTCCGTACATAATTGTTGTAGTTGCTTCGTTTCGTTTTGTTTGTGTAATACTTTGATTGAAGGATCTCGTATATAAGTATGCATGTATCTTCTGCTTGTAAATATATATATAATTCGTAATTGAAATTAAGCACAAATACAATTTTCAATTAACTTTCTCACATAGTACACGTGTGTGTTTGCTTGCTTGTGTTGTATTGAATACGTAAACGAACACATAATGCAAATTCAGTTGGGTATATGTATATAGTTAGGATAAATAGTTTTCTCGTATAGTTGTAGGCATTTCTGGGTTTGACAGTTTACTTCTCAGGCCCCCGAATACCGTTATTCGCTCGATGCATATTATATTACCGCCGCAAATAAATTATGTGTGTGTGTGTGTGTGTGTATGGTGTGTTGTATTTTATAAACAGATTTTCCTATACAATTTTCACAGAACAACAAAGACTTTTTACACACGCTTAAGCAGAAATATTACATCGAAAGAAGAGTTCATATAGGAATTACAATAATTAAATGTTACAAAAAAAACTGTTCGCTTTCTAGTTAATTAGTGTTAGTTTTTCTTTTTCTTTTTGTTGCTGTTTTGTTTTTGTTTCGTAACTTTGCTCAATACACTTGTTATGGTTTCTTTTAGATATATAATATAACAATACATTAGGCATAACAAATATCAATAATAATAATAGTAGCATACAATAGTAATAATAATAGTTGTGTAATAATAATAACAGCTTTTCATTCTTTGTTTTTTATCGTTTTTCATTTCCTTTGTTGTTTCTCGTGTGGTTGTTTTGCGCTTGCATCTGGTTAATTGTTGTTTACTTTGTTAATATTTGGATTTAGTTTTGTGTTTTTTCCGCATTGGAAATTAACAACAAACAGAAACACGTGTTTAAAGAGTAGGGGGTAGGTAAAAGCTTAGCACTAAAAAATAAAATGGACGTAGTAGAAAGGGGAAAATAAAGGGCATATTAAAATCGTGTAATACATTAAAATACATACAGATACAGATAAGATATACAGATATATAGGGTAGTATATAAATAAATAACAAAATGTGTTGTGAATTAAGATTTGCATTAATTTTGCTTAGCTTTTTTCGTTAGCTTTAATTTTGTTTTGT